CCGGGCCCAACCTCAGCCCGTCCCTCCGGCGGGGGCCCCGGACAGGAGGCCTCCGCCCGCCCCAGGCAAGGATACGAAGTACACGGAGAGGAAGATGAGCGCGCAGCAGTCGAGGAGAGAGAAGACGAACACCACCGCCTCCATCCTCCTCCACCGCCGCCGCCGGTCCTTCCGTAAAACCGGTTCGGGTGCCCGGACCCGCCCCACCCCGCCCCGCCCTGATAGGCTCTCCACCCGCCTTGCTGGGGCGTGTAATCCATTCTGCCGGGGCGCGGGGCATGCCGGGAATTGTAGTCCATTTTAAACCGCCTTGGTTCTGCGGCATGCTGGGAAATGTAGTTCATTAGGACGAGTACTTGTCAAGGAGGTGGGCAAGGTCTCTCTACCAGCGGTTCTCAACCTGTGGGTCGCGACCCCTGAAAATACATCCTGCATATCAGATATTTACATGATGATTCGTAACAGTAGCAAAATTATAGTTATGAAGTAGCAACGAAAATAATTTTATGGTTGGGGGTCACCACAACATGAGGAACTGTATTAAAGGGTCGCGGCATTAGGAAGGTTGAGAACCACTGCAAGAAATTGTGACAAGGAATTAATCAATGAGCATTTACTGAATGCTTGTAATCTTCTGGATACACAGTAGCATTTCCTTGCCATGTGAGAAATTTTCTTTCTATTGCACGCTGGACCCACTGGATCCCATGACTTGGAAATGGTAAGACGTTTTCATCTCAAAGCACAAATCTAACCTCAACCCTCTTGGCTTGACAATTGAGACTCGCCTTTCCCGATCTCAGTGTCTCCAGAAATTTCACAGTCCCTTGTTATTCTCTGTCGCAGTGATGTTTCTCTCCACTCTTGATTTTAATATCTTTGAAAATTGAATATGTCATCTTATTCATTCATAACAAATATCTACTGACTCCACCTCCTACTATATGCCAAGAGCTTCTCTGCACTCCAGAAATACAGAAATGAACGAGGCAGACAAGATGGTGCTCTCACTGGGTGGGTGGAACAGTCAATAAAGTAGCAACTAATTACAGAAAAAAGAGATTATTTTGAAGAGTCATAAGATCAATGGAGCAAGTTATATCCAAGTCACACATTCATTCAACCAGTATTTTCTGAGGATCTAGTATATACCAGGTACTGAACTTAGGGATGCATGATGAATATGAGAGAAAAAGTCCCTACACTCCTGTAGCTTACATTACAGTGAGGAAGACAAACAAACAAACAAAAAACCCTCGCAAAGGATGGGGGAAAGGTGGGAAAACACTTGAAGATTGAGTGATCAGAGAAGGCCAGGCTGGAAATGACACGTAAATTGAAATCGGAATAGCTATGTGAAGATTTGCAGGCAAAGTGTTTCAGACATTGAGGACAGTGATTGCAATACTCAACCGCTCATAGACTCATGCTGTTCTCAAGAATAGAGAAAACGGCGAATAGAGCTGAATTACAATGAATAAGGGTGAGAGAATTGGGAGAGGAAGTCAGAGGTGGGCAGGGCAAGGTCACATGAGCCTCGTGAACCTTGGGCAAGGAGCATGACTTTTATTCTAATACTAGATGCCTGGTGCACGGATTCGTGCAACAGTGGAGTCCCTCCTTTGGCCTGCGAGGATCAGGCCAAAACCAGCTCTCCGACATCTCCCAGGGGTCCCAGATTGCGATAGGGCGCAGGCCAGTCCGAGGGAACCCCGGGTGCACGAATCCATGCACCAGGCCTCTAGTATGCATATAAGATCTTTGGTTAATTTCTTCCCACCCTGCCCCCTCCCCCACTATCCCCAACAAACAATAAATCCTGTAACAACTGGCCCTAAGTGGCCAGGACTCCATTGATAACTGACAGCTTCCCTAACGTTTGTCCCAACGTTTCTTCCAACTTAGGACCAACCGGAGAAAGCCAAAAATGCTTCCCCTAAGTAGTCATATAGGATGCCCTGCCTCTACTTAGCCACGTACAGCTTCCCTATGACAATAGTCTCCAATCAGGGCAAATCCGAAACCTTCACTTTTACAGTTATAAAGTGTTCCCATTCCTCTGCCTGCCTTTGAGTCTCTGCCAAAATGTAAGTAATGGTGGCTGACTCCCTTGCTATTATTGCAAGCTCTGAAGAGTCTTTGCCTAGTCTCATTTAGGTGATTTTCATTTATTTCCATAAAGGGGATACTATAAACAATCATGCTGGATCAAGAGGCAAGCACCAGGGCTGTCCTGAGTAAATGAGCACATAGGTCAACCTAAGTATAAAGCACAATTAGGTAAGAGGCTGTTTGCTAGTGAGGTGCAACATTTGCGGGGGTTGGGACCAGAGGAGCCAAGGTATGGGGAACAGGAGGTGAAATGTGCCACTACCACTAGGTGGGGCTGCACCATTAAAGAATGGAGGACATTTGCCATGGCTGGTGTGGCTCGGTTGGTTGGAACCTCCTCCCAGAAAGGTGGTAGGTTCCATTCAATTCCCTGGGGTGTGCGGAAGGCAAATGACTGATGTTTCTCGCTCACATCCATGTTTCTCTTTCGAATCATTAAAAAAAAAAAAAAAGAACGGAGGCCATTTAATTACTGCAATAAGTTCTTAAAATGTACATGCATTCAGGTTGCTACTCAGTATGTTTTTGGTTTAGATGTATGGTATTGTAAATTCTGACCACTGGAATTAATGTAAAATTGTCTTCAGGGTAATAAACAGTCGAAATAATTCCAATGGAAAAATATATTCAAGTATATCAGTATTGGTATCTAGTATTAATTTACTTTCAATTGTTGCCTACTGCACTTGAGGCAGTCAAGAGGTGAAAACACACTCCTTGACCTTAAGGTGCTATTCTAGCCCAACTGGTGTGGCTCAGTGGTTGAGCATGGACCCATGAACCAGGAGGTCACGGTTGGATTCCAAGTCGAGGGCACATGCCACGATTGCTGGCTTGATTCCCAGTGTGGGGCATGCAGGAGGCTGCCTATGGATGATTCTCTCTCATCATTGATGTTTCTCTCTCTCTCTCTCTCTCCCTCTCCCTTCATCTCTAAAATAAATAAAAATACACACACATATAAATATATCATATATATATACATATATCATATATATATATATGTGTGTGTGTGTGTGTGTATATATATATATATATTAAAGTAGGTGCCATTCCAGAGTACTTCAGGTCTGTATGGGCTACATAATTTGCAAGGGCAAATACATATCTATAATAAAAAAAAAGCATAATATGCTAATTAGACTGCACATCCTTCTGGACGACCTTCCAGATGAAGCTGGGACTGCAAGGGAAGCCAGGGTCCGGGTGCCTGTTGGGTGCCTGCCCGCGGCCAGGGGAAGGAAGGCCTACTCTTGCACAAAATTTCCTTCGTGCATGGGGACTCTAGTGTTTAATAAAATTCTTGCACTGGATGTGCTCAACAAATCATCGGTCAAAAATGGCATAAGGTCAAATGATTTCCAAATGTACAAGATGGTTTAGCTATCTGGGTGAACCAGTCTTTTGATATCCAGCCTTTTCATGGGCCTCCAGACATGGGTAATTAAGTTCGAAAAGCAAGCAGCAGGCTGGCGGTGGGTTTTTATCTTTTTTAAAAAAAATTTTTATCGTCCCAAGTGTCTACAAAGCTTCCGGTTTTGTTAAGATTCTAGGCCAAGATTAACTTTGCACCCTAATAGAGGCGTGGCTGGAACGCCTGGAGTAAAATAAACAAAAACAAGTTTACCAACAGGCGCCCGTGACAGAGCCCACCTGGACCCTCCCCGCAGCCACCGCGTGCGCTTGTCCGCACAGCTGGAAACAATAAAGTTGAGCTTGTTCAAAGGGGTCCTTGTCATCCAGGGCCCGTTGGACGAGCCTGCAAAATAAGGCTCCGAAAAACTCCCTGATGGTTTTCCAATCCTGCTCGTTGTTCTCGGTAGTTTTTCCCTCGCCCGCGGGACACACGTGCTGCGGGGAGCGGCGCGCGCCAGGCCGGGTGAGGACGCATTTCAGGCGC